ATTTGTTGCCTCATTTTTATTCAATGGAATCATGCTTGTATTTGAACTCTGCAGTATTACAGGACTACTCTTGTTTCATTGTAAAGTTTTGGGTGGAAACAAAAGGGTTAGAATCTTGAGATGCCCTGCAGAAAATTAGCCAATCAGGAATAGTTTTTCTCTGTGGTATCTAGGTGGATACACCTATGCGAGTTTTCCTGTTGGCTAGGACTTCAAGAGCTGATGAGAAGGCCTAACGCCTAAGACTGACTATCTGCTTCAATCATGCTTGACTTTCAGTAGGTGAGATCAATTTCATGAGAAAAAAAGGCACTCCAGGCATGCAGTAACTGTGAATGTGAGCAGCAGCCTAATCAGTGAGTCTATTCCAGACCTCTCTACTAAAATAGTCACTGTGAAACTGCTATAAGGTAAAATATGCTCATGTGAACCACTGTTAGCTTAGCACCAACAAACAACTAGAATCCCATAAGGACGCTAACAGAAATTAGCATTATATTTTTACATTAAATATGATTTTTATCAAAGTGAATAATAAGAATTCTAAGGCACTGTTAATCTGCAAAAGAATAGGTTTATTTTCTTATATTTCATTTTTTTCCTCTGATATCCACTTATTACATTTGTGTGGTTTTATGTAACCAACATAGTCATAATTCATTTTTACATGACCAATTCTTAGAATTTCTTCTATTAGAATTAAACTGACTGTTATTATTACTGTGCATTTCAGACTGATATGTGTAACTGAGCTCTGTTCTGATTGCCTGTCCTTTAACGTACTTGATTCAAAAACCAGTGTGGGTGGAAAGGTTTCCTTACTTTTTCAGTGTGAGTGAATGGGGCTAAACTGCTGTAGGCTGAATAGGTGGATAGGTGTAAATGCATTGGTTTTCATGAATGCATTGGGTTTTTCTGTAAATTCAAAATGGGCTGTTTTTGCAGCTTAGTTTTCATATATGAAGTGTATGGGTTAGAAAGTGAACGGTATGTTTCAAAACTTAACATACTACATCAAACTCCTTTATTTAAAAAAAAAAGCAATGAAAGTTTAATTTTGGCCTTTTAAATAATTGTTATGTACGTATAGGCCAAAAAATTAGCTGTAAAGAATTCGGATTCGGCCATAAAAATCATTATGGGTGCATATCTACCTATCAGTCCAACTGGATTTGGATCATATTGATTGGGGACATGAGAAAGTGTTTTAAGCTGAAATTTTTAGCAGCATATACTATATATTATATACATATAATGAACACTGCAACATCATACTAAATACTATTTTTTCATTTTCCATGCCAGCTGTCGGCGGAGAGATGACAAGAAACAACTGAATACATTTAACCGACAACCACAGCTCATGCACACCCTGCTCTCGCTGCTCTTTCTTGCTGGACAAACTTTATGCAAATGAGCTGAGCATTGACCAATCAGATTGCTCAATCAAGCAGGAGATTATGACAATGGTTGATAAAAATGCAGGGGGGGGGCTGTTGGCCGAAATATGTAAGTTTTTATAAGAATATTAGGCTGCTCCAGTGAGCAGAACTTGTTCCCAACTCGTGCTTATGTTTTAGCGACAAAGTGGCCAGTTGCAGTGATTCACTTTACTCTAAACTGCAGTGTTAACTCTAACAGTGTGTGGCTACTGCAGACTTTGAACATATATATATACATATATAATATATAAAACGAAATAAAAATAAGGCGGTCTTACAAGCGCACGTTCCATCTCCTGTCTTACCAATGAATCCGATGGCGTTTTCTGCAGTGAATAAGTAAAGCAGACTTTAGGATCTGCTGTTTAACTAACACAGAGGACGTGGCTATAGGGCAGCGCGGCCAGCACGCTTCACTGACGCACAAGACTTATCTGACTTCATCAATTATTAAAGTGTAAAAACAACCAAATCAACCACAAAGTAAAGAGCACAGGCAGTACTTCTGGGTGCTTTCTTCCAAAGTAGAAGTCTAGAAACTCAGCTTCCTGGAGGCAGGCCTCAGAGGATGCTCTATTTATAGTGGAGGCTGAAGCTCCTGTCAGAGCGGTTTGAGAGTGGGATAACTTCCTTTCTATGTTCTGCAGGTTGGCTCAGAACTTACACCTACACACAGCAGTCTGTTTTACAGTCCCATGGTAACGACGTGATGGAAAGGCTATTAAAGAACGAAAAAAAAAAGTTAATTATCAGGGTCTTGTTGAACTCTTTGAAAACGCAACAACTGAGAGCAGCTGTTCAGAAATATGTAATTTGAATGTACAACTGTAGAACAGTGAGTATATTTCCTGAGTTTATATGTGGATGACGATATGAATACTGACAAATAATTGCTTAAAGGCACAGCATGAGTGTTTGTTTGATCAGTCTGGACTGATTCATATGCATAAAGTGCATTAATTAGTCCACGTACTGCATGAAGAACATGACTGTAGCTGTGAACAGAAGTGCTCTTAGTAAAACATGGAGAATCTGCAGGAAGGACAGAATGTTTTTCTTTTCAAATATGCAGTATTTTGACCTTCTTGAGCTGTAATGAATCACAATTGATCCATTTTTTTTGTGAAGTTAATCGCAATTAATCGCATGTGATATTTGCTAAAAACTGACACACATACATACATACATACATTATATGGACAAAAGTATTGGGACACCTACACATTATACCTGCAGTAGCTTGTATGACATGCCATTATAAATCCATAGGCATTACTATGGAGTTGGTCCCACTTTGCAGCTATAACAGCTTCCACTCTCCTGGGAAGCTTTCTACAAGATGTTGGAGAGTGTCTGTGGGAATTTTTGTCCATTCATCCAGAAGAGCATTTGTGAGGTCAGACACTGATGTTGCAGTGGGCCTGGCTCGCAATCTCCTTTCTAGTTCATCCCAAAGGTGTTCGATGGGGTTGAGATCAGGGCTCTGTGAGGGCCAGTCAAGTTCTTTCACACCAAACTCACCCAGCCAGGCCTTTATGGACCTTGCTTTGTGCACTGGGGCTCAGTCATGCTGGAACTTCCCCAAACTGTTCCCACAAAGTTGGAAGCATACAGTTGTCCAAAATGTCTTGTTCTGCTGAATCATTAAGATTTCCCTTCACTGGAACTAAGGGTTCTAGACCAACCCCTGAAAAACAGCCCCTACACTGTAATCCCGCATTTTGTTTTAACTCAAATAAATTCAGTCTGTTGTACATAAAACTCAGTATATCCCACAAATTGCTCAACAATTTTAAGTTAAGGGAACTTTTTTGATGATTTTGTACACCAAAATAACATTTTTAAGTTGAATTAACTTATTGCTATTTAGTTTAGTCTGTTGCTATGGCAACTTTGAAACCCCACATTTAAAAAACGACGACATTTCTGTTGGTTTTAATTGTTTCTTTCTCATTAAAGTTCCTGAACAAATGTGTGAAACTGAGTGAAACTAAGTAAGCTTTGAAATAAATTACATGCTTGTTTTGTTAACACAATCTTGTTAGATAAAACGTATATTTCTTTCCCATTGGCTCCTGGCTCCGTTTATTTGCATACCAAGTGTTTCTTTCCGTTTGTTTTACTCACTGTCAGTGTGCTTTCATTCCACCCAGACTGCTTTTCCTCAAGCATATGTGTTTTATATATGGTTTACTCAGCTGCTTGACGTTGTGTTGTTGGCTAAGAGTGAAGGTTGTCATTCTCTTTGCTGATGAGTGGGCATTTGTGTTGGTCAGTGACTATGTTCACAGTTAAGGTTAACCCTTTGGTGTTTAGCAAAGTGGTTAATATCACTTAAATAGAAAAAAAATCTCAATTGCCTAATGAGACATATAGTTAAATTGCAATTTCAAGACGTTAAATTACAATAATTAGAATTTACGAGTTGCACAAATGTACGTTTATGTTAGCCTAACTCAAAAATTATAGTTATTCTAACTTAAGTTTTCATTACACATTACTTATTTTTTTAAGGCAACCGGTTTCCTCAAATATTTTAAGTAAATTCAACTTATCCAGGATAGCAGTGTAGCATCATCCCTCCTCCACCAAACTTTACAGTTGGCACAATGCAGTCAGGCAGGTAACGTTCTCCTGGAATTCGCCAAACCCAGATTCGTCCATCAGATTGCCAGATAGAGAAGCGTGATTCGTCACTCCACAGAAGTGGAGCTCCAAAGGCCAGTGGCATCATGCTTTACACCCCAATGCTTGGCATTTTGCATTTTGATCTTCGGCTTGTGTGTAGCTGCTTGGCCATAGAAACCCATTTCATGATGCTACTAACACACAGTTCTTTGCTGATGTTGCTTCTAGAGGCAATTTGGAACTCTTTAACGAGTGATTCAACAGAGGATAGGCACTGTGCGTGGTCTAAGGATAGTTTGCGTGGTCTACTGTTTTGTGGCTAAGCTGTTGTTGCTCCTAGGGACTTCCGTTTCACAATAATAGCACTTATAGTTGACAAAGACAGATCTAGCAGGACCGTGGTCATCTCCACAACCTAAACTTTCATTTTAAAAGAAACTTTTCATTGTCCAATTTCCATTTCCAACGATGCCAATTTCCACTAGCACTTCTCTATGCTATCCCCTGTTATACCTGACTAAGTTAAAACTAGTATTTGAGTGAGAAATAAGAGCTACGGTCATAGCAAAATACAACACCTGAGCAGCTCAGACTACTATGGTTAGCAAAGGAATTAATGGCATAAAAATTGTTTCAATAATTTATTATAGTAATGTCTTAACCCCTAACAACTCCAATTTTTCTGCTTTAAATGTCTTAAGTGTTTTACTGAGTTTCCTGTAAATCATGCCAGTCCTCACTGTGCATTGACAGGAGCGCACTAAACTGTGCCTCTTGATTCTCTTGATATATCCTGCCCTGTATGCAGGACTGGATAGCTTTCACTCCATGCTTCCCTCCCCTTGACCCTTCTGTCTCAATGTGAGTCTTTGTCTGCAGATGAGAATAGCCCATTCTCCTTTTAACAGATGAGCCCTCTTGTGTCCACAGCCGCCTGCTCCGAGGACGTGACTGGACACGTGGTGTGGATACCAGCAGCTGGCCCTTGGAGCCCCACACCAGCTCAGCTCCTGTGAAGAGCGTACCCTTGACGTCCCTCCCCACAGTACACCCCCCACCCCCGCCACTCTCTTCTGCCCCCTCACTTGTTACAGGCATGTGTGAGGATTAAGGCTTGGGATTACTGAAGTGTCCACATCGTTTATGGGAAGAGGGACACACCGTTGTTCGTGAGTAGCCTTCATCACCTTGTCTCTTAGCTTCAGCCCTCCAGCAAGAGTCTTTGTGTTTGTTCGGATCAGTGCTGTGGAGCAGGGGCAATTCTGGTTGACTTAAAGCTTTGTAATGGCTTCAGTCTTCTAATCGGGAAATTATGATTCATTTACTGCAAAAAAAAAGTTAGGAATCTTGCCAAGCACTCTTTACTGGTATGTTTTTCTTGTGCTGGTCTCATGGGCTAAGACTAAACAAAGCATGGTGAATCAGCAGAGCTTCTTGTAGCTTTACTCACTCATTATATGTCCAAAAGTATCCAGACAATTCTTCTAAGTAGTGGTGTGCCCACTGAAGACACAACTGTACACATACAGCTTATACGAGCTCCATAGAAAAGCATAGACAAATAGAAACAGGACAATCTGGAGCAGCCGCACTTGAGCCTAAGGTCACCATGTCCAGTGCCAAGCATCAGCTAGAGGGATAGAAAGCTCCCCAGCATTGGGCTGTGAAGCAGTGGAAATGCATTCTCTGCTGTGATCTCTGCGCCCTGGTGACATCTGGTATAAATAAAAATAGTGCATGGCCACGACTTAGTAAGGTGTGGAACAAGATAATTAAGTCATGGCCACAACTTAGTAAGGCGTGGGAACGAGATCCTAATGCGTGTACACAACTTAGTAAGGCATAGGAACGAGATCCTTATGCGTGGCCATGACTTAGTATGGCATGATCTCATTCCCACACCTTACTAAGTCATGGCTATGAATTAATAATCTCATTCCATCGCCTTACTAAGTCGTGGCCATGCATTAGGACCTCGTTCTCACGTGTTAATAAGGCGTGGCCACACATTATTTTTATTTATAAGGGATGTCACCAGCAGGGCTCCGTAAACATCAGTAACTGACCTCACTCATGCTCTTGTGGCTTCAGTCAAGTCCTCACAGTAATGTTCATACGTCTAGTGGAAAGCCTTCCTGAAAGCTTATTTACATTAATATCCTCTATTAATACTGATTTCAGAAGAAATGTTGGATATCTACAAACTTTTGGATGTAATGACTACAGGATGCTAAGAGAAGGACTAAGAGACAGTGTGACATGTGGGTTGGTATATATCTAACTGAGTGCCGTCTGTCGGCTAACCATAACTGACTACAAAAAGCAGTAATACCAGTATATAGAGATGCACCAAAATTAAAATCTTTAATCAAAACCAAGAACTTCAGGAAACCTTGGGCTCAAAACCAAAACTGAGACCAAAACAAGCTGACAAATAAAAACAGTTTACATAAAATAAACTTACTAAAACTACTGCAGTGCGTAGCTACAGTATGTGGCACAAAATCCAAGAGAAAAGTCATCCAAGATGCTGTAATCAATTATTTGTTCGAGTTAACCTCACAAACTGAGGCTACAGTTGGTGTTAGCATGTTCACAGGAACTTTCCTTTCTGCTTCTGTTGTTCCGGTGTATTCTGGGTATTGAGCAGGATCTCATGTTTCCAAACCTGCAGTGGAGAAATTCTTGATTGTCTTTTTAAAATTCAAAATGGACAGCGATTATAAATAACTTGTTTAATGTCCTTTACTGTTGATCTGCTGCTGCTCAAACTGTTTGAACACATCTGCGCTAACCAAAGCGGGAAAATAAAACAAACTTTTTATCAAAATTTTGCATTTTCATTACTATGAAAATGATTTGTAAAGTCTTAGATTTTGGCCTTTTTAATCTTTGTTATTTTTGGTAAAAATGTTCAATAGTTTTTCTCTTTTGGCTGAGAACTGAAAGTGTATTTATGCCCAAAATTTTTCGGTTTTCAGTGGCCGTAATTCCTCTGCATGCCTAATGTATGCCTAGTGTATACAGTGTATGCAGAGCCTGATATTAAGCTTTTTCAGTGACTTGTTCTATGGATTAGTAAATTACTGGTCCAAAGGCCAAAATCACTTCTCCACTAATAAAACGTCACAAACTTTATACAAAATTAAACACATCAAAAAAGCTCACGTTTGGTGTGGGCAAGCTGTGTGGTTTGAGGTTATCTCTCAGCCAAACTGGGGTGAACACAGCAAGTTATGCAAAACATTCCTTGTTTTTCCATTGTAGATCACCTAGTCAAATTCATCCCTCTAAGTGGGAATGCTTTTTCGGCATTACCGCTTGGATTGGCTTGTTTTGATGCTCTTCCTGGCATTTGTCCAGGTTGTGAACGTTTCAAAAACATTGGATTGATCAGGTCAGCTGCTGCTGCTGAAGTGAAGCTCTCAGGTCTGATACAGATATATAAACTTTGCTATTCGTAACCACTACATACATGTCTCAGGAGGCTACATTCCTCTCAGAACACATTTTCCTTTTTAGTTAGTTCTATCTTGCATATTTCCTTGTCAAATCAAACATCTCAATTCGTTGTTCACTTGTCTGACACAAACTTTCGCTTGTCCCAGACGAGCCTTAATGTCGAGTCCTGGTACGAGTTTGTACTTTGGTTAAAATGAGGTCGCTCTGTCACTGCCCTGCCTCTCTCTGAAGTTTCCATTTTCACTGGTAGCATGGCGAGGGGATTAAGAGCTGGACAGGAACAGAGAGAAATGACACATCCACTTATTTCAACCATCTGTGCGGCCTGGGCTTGATATTATTACTGCGCTATACCTTAGGGTGGGAGTGGTGGTAGCATGCGTATGTGTGTGTGTGTGTGTGGGTGGGGCTGGGTCAGGTCGAAGAGCATGAGTGTGAGAGTGGCAGATGTTCCAGAAGCTGCTGTGGATAAACACTTTCAGAACTAAACGCATTGGGGAAGGAAGCTGTGTGCGAGTATCCTTTGGTGACTCGAACGTGCTTCCTGTGGGTGCCTGCAGTGAGACGAACGCATTCTCCTGCTCTCTCATGGCCTTTTTCAGCCCGGTAATGGAGATGGAGGCAGACAGCAGCACCAAGAGGACTGATTGAAGTCATCTACATCTTCTACCATCTGTATGCAGTATTTTTAGTTTGTCTGTTTGTTTTTCTTGAAGATGAAACAATTCCCTCGGGACATAAGTAAGGCAATCATGAGTATGATTCCCGGCAGGCTGCCGTTGCCTCTGTAGGATGGAACACAATGATGAACTAATGTATTTTGTGCATTTCTTTGTTACTTGCCGGTGATTTTCAGCCAAGTGAATTATTATTGAAAGCTATTCAGTTGGCAAATGTGATACATGATAAGCAGGATGAATTGACAGAAGGGGAGGAAGAACACTGGTTGCTCCTGTTAAAGTAAACAAGAAATATTGATAAAGCTATAAAACTCATTTCCTAAGAGGACAGATGTGTAATGAGTCCTTTTCCGATCTGACACCCTATCCCGATAGATCTTCTTTCTGTGCCAGAGCTCTGCTGAATGCTTAGTCAATCTGTGAGCGCTGCTGAGAGGGGAGTGGACTGACTCTGACTCTGACTCTGAGTGCAAGGACCCACCAAGGCCTGGCCGATACATCGGTAGGCTGATAAAAATGGTGAATATTCATACATTTAAGGTATTGTCAGGGCTTGATTTGAGGGGGGATGCAAGGGGATTCCATCTCCCCAGGCAAGAAAATCACACAAATTCTCCCTGTGTAAAAGTGCCATCCCCTCCTTAGTCACTTAGTAAGAGGGAGGTGCTTTGGGGGGCGGGCAATATATCGTTTGGTTGATTAATGATCAATATTGATGGATTTATGGGTATTCTCGGGGCCTGATTAGAGGGAGAATGCAAGGGCATTCCATCCCCCCCAGGGAAGAAAATGACAAAAATTATCTCTCATAAAAAAATGCCTTCGCCTCAAGTCACTGTAAAAGAGGGACACCTAGAACAAATAATAATGTAAAAGAAGATAATACAAGAATAGCAGAGCAGCACAGGACTAGTGATCTCTGAAATTACTTTTCATTCATCCATCATTCATTCATTCATCATCATCTTTAACTGCTTAATCCAGATAGGGTCGCAGTAGCAATTGGGAGAGCAGAGAATCCCAGACGAGCCTGTCCCCCACAACTTCCTAAAGCTCATTCCAGGGGGACCCCGAGCCGCTCCCAGGCCAATTTGGAGATGTAATCCCTTCAGCAGGTCCTAGGGGTCTCGTCCCAGTAGGCTGTGCCTGATAAACCCCCACTGGGAATGTGACCGGGGGCATCCTGATCAGATGCCTGAACCACCTCAACTGGCTCCTCTCAATGCAGAGGAGTAGCGGCTCTACTCTGAGCTCCTCCCGGATGACCGAGCTCCTCACCTTATCAAGTGGAGTGTAGCCCACCACCCTGCGAAGAAAGCTCATTCACAATCTCATTCTTTTAGTCATTACCCAAAGCTCATGACCACAGGTGAGGGTGGGGATGTAGACCAACGGGAAAACAGAAAGCTTTGCCTTATGGCTCAGCTCCCTCTTCACCACTACAGTCCGGTACAGTGACCGCATTACTGCTCCTGCTTGTCCCAGCCTGCAGCCGATCTCACCATCCCTCTTCCCATCACTCATGAACAAGACCCTGAGATACTGAAACTCTTCCATCTGGGGCAGGTCCTCTCCCCTTACCTGGAGTGGGCGTGCCATCCCTTTCCGGGCTATTACTTTTCCTGTACTTAAATGTAAGAACTGCCACCATTCATAACTGACAAAAGCCAAAATTTTAACAAAATGACTGGAATAAACTTTAATGGGCTACTGAAAATTCTATATTTTAAATTGTCACCAATCTTTATAAGCCAACACTCCAAACATGATATCTTAGCATCATATATCTAGTCTAAATATCTAATATTTCTCATTTGAAGATTCTTGATCAGATTATTTGACTTATTTCTGTGTTAATATCTGTTTTAAGTCATTTTATCCAGCATAGGTTTTTGGAATGGGCAAAACTCTCTGCCAGTGGAATAAGACACTTTCACTCTTTTTTTACTATTTGAAACAAAGAGTTTCTGCTATTTAAGTTTGGGCCACGTGCCCGTCTGATGGTAGCAAAATTAAAAAAAATTGGA